TGGTTGCATTAGGTGAAATCATATGTATATACACACCTGGGGATTGAGGGATTGGAGTAGTTTGGCATAATTAGAAGTGGAGCACCATTCACGAAGATAGCTTGCCTAGCAGATTCTAGCAAGGTGATTTTTCTCCCACCTGGTCAAGCATTCATGAGGAGATCCAAGATCTCTGATGCACCATGTCACAATTATTATGGTGGACCCTGGTGGTGCAACTTCAGGCAACTCACCCAAACTGCGAAAACAAATTCCAGTTCCCATATAAATGTCGAGATTTTCCCAACTGAAATCATGAACTGGTTGACCCTAAGAATGCATCATTAAGTGTCGAAAAGGAAACAAAGACCTTGGCTGTATCAGACATATGATCTCCACTCTCCATGGACCAAACCAGATCAAAATCCCCATCTGTGAATGGCTGATCCAAAGCATTCCAACTTGGAAGAATGGTAGAAGAAGTTGACCTGGTCAGCTATATCTTGAGCACCTCCAAGAGCATCGACTCTTTGACAGTGCTCCCCTGTCACTTGTATCCATATTCCTGGCTAAGTAGCCTACATCCACCACGTTCTTCGCCCTCTACTCTGCCACAAAATCAAACAATCAGGAAAAACTCACATTTTGAATTCAGCTAAACTACTTACCGATTACAATAAACCAATCAAGATGAACCGTAAAGTTAGAGAGAGAGAGAGAGTTGTAGGTGGGAGAACATATATTTTCCTTGGTTTGATCACTAACTAAGCCAACTAACCTAAGGAATGAACTATAAGTATGCAATTCATAGTGCTACGACAACATTGGAAGTTACAGGACACAGCAAGCATAAAATCCTCATAAATTTAGGGTAAAGGGTTGTACTATCAATTACGGCAAAGTTTGAGAGAAAACATGAATTGCAGCATAATGCATATGAAGAAGATACGCCAATGGGCACCCATTATAGAGAAGAGTAAGTAGGAAAACGAAGAAGCCGAGAGTAATAGAGAAGGCAAAAGCTATAGTAAATTCAACTAACCACTTCTCATGTTGAAAAATGAAAACACGACTGGCCCACCAAAATCCCCAATAAAAAGCAGGTTGTATACATTTTGGAACCAATATCGATACGGGAAGGAGATTTTGTCGCTGTAATGGCAGAGATCGAAGTAAAACTCAGACTACGATTCATATAAACTGCTAGATGGAAGAAATAGACACACAGGGGCAGACAAAGAGAAGCAATTCTATGATTCGAAATAAAAAACCAAAAGGCAGATGGAACATAAAAATTAAAGAATAGAATGGCCAGAAACCGACCGTATGTTCATCAGGGAGGTCCGTTTGCCTTTACAGTCGTTATGCCTTTTATCTCTTCATTTCCACCTTGTCTTTTCTTCTTTCTCTTCTTCTTCTTCTTCTTCTTCTTCTTAATCTTCTGCTTCCTTTCCTTCTGCTTTTTGTTCTTCATTGTCTTTGCCTATGAAAACGGTGAGATCAGATCAATCTAGGGTTTGTGTTCTTGTATTTTTGGGTGAGAATTTGTTAAGAGAGAGTCAAGAAATATGAATTTCCACAAAGAAAACCATACCTATTGAAGCACAACACCGCCGTCGGGTTCACTCAAACTTATCAACAGAACCCAAGTCTCAGAAGAACGGATCATAATTCATTCATCAATGAAATGAGGGCGATAAAGATTAAATAACAACAGAATGCTGCAGACTCATGTTCAAAGCAAGCTGAGGGAGAAGCCACCTTTTAACTTAGGAACCAGCATTAACCGTACTCTTTTTATACAGGAATTAGTTCTACTAATAAACAACATAATTTATTAAATCTAACTGTTAAATTTAGGTGTAAGAAATATCTTGAAGCTAATAAATCTAATCATTACATTCAGACAGACGACTTCCTATGTGTAGTGTCATCAATACTCACATTAGATTCAGCTAAATTGGTTTCACTCTCTTTTGTAGAAGGTCTCTGTTAATTACTATCATTGCAAGTTGTGTATTCAAATCTATTGCTTGTTACTGGGACCTAAACACAGATATATAAAAATTAGTTGTGACTCACAAGGAAGAAAGCATTTGAATAGGTTCCTCGTGTAAAATAACTATGAATAGAAATAAACATGAAGGAGAATAATACAAAATACTAAATGGCAAACCTACATGGTGACCAGAGCAATGAACATGAGCTTTTACCAGTTTCAAATAAAACTGACCAATAGAGTAAAAACCATGCAATTGAATAATGTAAGAGTTCTTTGCATGTCGGTGGCAGAGACGATTTACATGGTCCTACGTACGGTGAATCATGGGCTAATATGCAGGTGCAAGTAAATGAAAACGACAGTTACTTTTATTTTTTGCTGCGTTGAAATGGAGCCACATAAGAGAACTTAATCGGTACAACATATAAAACGAATATAGGCAAAGTTTTTGGGCCAATAAAAAAGTTCATTAGAAAGGAAGGCATTGATGTGGTGCACACAAAATGTGCAGATGGTTTAGTTTGCTGACTTGAAAAAGGTTTTGAAAGCGCCATTCTTACCCCAAATCATTTTCCGCAAGTCGTAAGGCTACTTTGACACATTTTGGACTGCATCAAGGTGCTGAACTACCATTTCTCATAGACTTTTTTGTATGGTTCCAAGTCAGTCCTAGAATGATCATCCCCCCTCCAAAAGATCATTTTTCCAATCTCTCCATATGCTGCTACCAAGAACAACAGCCACGTAAAAAAGGTAGTTAGACCATGAAAATACAATCAACAAACATGTAAAACAGACAAATATACATGATTCCAACATCCATACCTCTCTCTATCTAAAGCAAGAAGCTGGAGTTAGACTAAGTGAGCCACCAATTAGAAGCAAAACTCTCCTATGATACGATCATACAATGATATTAAAGTGTTAGTATGGTTGAGAGAGCCAATATAGCAAACTTTTACTGAAAAATAGAACTGAACTAACTGCGCATCATGAAACACGATGATCAAGGCCAACTCCATCTTAAAACTGCTACTCCCATCTGGCGCTGCATATTTTTAACCTTTTCCCTCATCCAGCATAGCTTACATACAGGTTTGTAGCCTGTTCCTGAAGTCATTGGGTAACACAATGAATGCAATAGAAGATATTCAGGGGAACTGAACTACAAAGAGCAAGTCTGAATAAAAATGCGAAGGAAAAAGAGATGCATGCTGATGTATGAGACTCCACCATTTTAGACATAACTATAGAATGAAGATGTTGAAAATGTTTAAACAAAAAACTAAGAATGGGATCAAGCAAATAAAAAATCCAACCATGTTACTGAACTTGCACTTGTGCAAGCACAAACACTTGTTATTGATAACCATAGTCATGTTGAAAGGGTTCAAACAACATACATCTCATTAGAAACCCCAATTTCTATACAGAAACCCACCATAATCTCTGCTAAAAGCAAAAGAAGCCTAAATCTGAATTTATTTAGTGGAAAATGAATTATCAAATACACAGAAACATGTAAAGGGCACCTAGACACACTTTGTACCTCTGCTAGCAAGCTACATCGCTATATTTTGGTGACCGGCAACGACCACTCCAGGATTGTCGATGACTTCTTCTTCCTCTTCCCATTGCTGAAATCAATTAAAAAAACAATATCATCAAAGAAAGGCAAGAACCAACATGTAAACTAAATCAAAATCCAAAAAGAAAAAGCTTACCTAGAGAGTAGTGGCCAGCTCTAGTAGCCTCTTCTGGATTTGGAAATATACACCGACAATAATCCCTCCCTTATCTTGCCTCTCGTTTGAACTTGAAATCCCAAAAGGAAAAGTCTGATCAGATGAGCAGAAACTAACAAAGCAAAAAATAAAAAAAATGCAATATGCGAAAAGGAAAACACCCCTGACCTAAGTCGTCGTCGTAGGGACCATCACCGGAGTCCATTTCAGGTCTTCCCATCGCCGGCGCGGTCGTTCGCGTCTTTTCTTCTAGCCGTGGTTTCCAAGAAAATCAGTAAGAGAGAGTGGAATAAAGATCGTTAGGAAAACTCAAAAACAGAGGAAGACTCACAAGCTAGGCAATCAATCGTCCAACAACCCACGTTCTTTGGCAATCTCGTCGGTTCATGGCCGAGTTCAGAGATCTGGGACTAAGAGATTACGGAGAGAGAAAGAGATGGAGGCGGAGCTGGTTTTGGAGGGGACGGGAGAGCATGATCAAGGTGAGTGGTTTAATTCATCTCCTCATTGTTCTACTTCTTCTTCTTCTTCTTCTTCTTCCTGCTTGTCTTTCTCCAATGAGGAAAATGGAGAGATGGAGATGGAGTGGTTGGTGGATAAAGGAAAAAGATGAATATGTGGATGGGAATAAACGTAGGAGAGAGAGGTGGAATGGAAAAGAGAGAAGGAGAGAGAAAGCAGATCCAGAAAGATGGAGAGAGGAATTGGGGATTAGACATGAGGAAGAAAGAATGGATAAGTAATAAAAAGTCTCCATTTGTCAGAAAAAGCAAAACACGTAACAGCAGAGAGAAAAGAGAGAGGAAAGCAATGATTACAAACAAGAACTCAGTAAAAGTAAAAAGCAAACCAAGTGACAGTGTTTTGATGTGACTCTAAGAAACAGTAAAGTTGTAACTTGTTCTTTTAAAGAGATAATAGACACGTTTTATCGGCTTCTTGTACCTTGTGTTGTGGGCTGTGTGCGTGTGGTCCTCTTAGATGGTGAGCATTTAGTACAGCCTTTTATGTGTTCAAGCTGGTGCCACGTGATTTAATAATGTAGATTTCCTGGAAAGAATGCATGTCAACGTGGAGCCCAGAAATTCATTGTTTATCGTCCTTGTGGCTCTCGTGCATTATTTTTCTTTCGGATTTAGGGGCCAAGGGGTAGTATATTTTAGGTCTTGTCTAGAGTTGTTTCCTTCGTTTAATTTTGTAGGGTAGTTAGTTTTATATCTTGTCTAGAGTTCTAGACGTTTATTAGTTTCCTAGTATAGGGAATCACTTCTTATTTCCGTGCTTCTTAAGCTACTACTATGAATCATAGAATCCTGCTAGTCGACAGAACTGAAGAAACTGCATGATAACTTTACACGAATTGTGGGTATTTTGCAGGAGTTGGAAATGTTTTCTGCTTCCTCATCAAAGGAAGGGCAGAGACGTGGGAAAAGAAAAGCTGGGTTAGAAACAGAAAGACTGAAAGAGATAGAGAGGTTCTTTTGAGTGCTTTTCTCCCACCTCTTCCGATTATTCATTTTTAGTGTAAGAATCATGTCAGTTCACCACTGAGGACCTTGGCCACTTGATTGATAGCTCTGGAGACTCTCCAAACTTGGTGTTGCACGGACTTCCATGATTCTGCTGTGTTCAGTTTCTTTGCCTCCTCTATTGCATCATCTACTGCTGGGAACGACTTGGACCCGTAGTCGTTATGCTTGGCTGGACCATATACCTGCAAAAGTAAGAAAACCGTTACTAGGTTATATTGGCTTATAAGTTAAAGCAGGACCACTTACCTGCAAAAGTAAGCAAGAAAACCGTTACTAGGCTATATTGGCTTATAAGTTAGACCCAAACAATTGTCAGTAGTTGGAGGCTTGCCTAACGTGGTCCTGATTTTTATTTGTTATGCAGAGACATACCAGATTTAGTACCTATTCATACAATTATGAGGGGGGGAAATGCCATATCTAGTAGATAGAGTTGATTCTGAAATGCTGCTGCTTCAATAAGGAATTTGGGAGCAGGGACAAACATACCAGATGTTTATACCATTGTCTTCCAGGTAGTCCCTCCGAGTCTGTAAATGCTCGCTCAGCCATCATTAGTCTGTCATTGATTTCCCTCACTCTAGCAAAGTCTGTCTTCTTAGCTGATGTGAATTTGCTGGTTTCTTCAATGGCCTATTGGATTCCAGCTTGTTGTGTGAGTCAATATTATTATCAGTGTGATAATTTGGCGCTTGCAGAATCTGTACCCATACCTTTATCTCATTGTTTACTTTGGTGGCTGCTTTTGTTAGTTTGTTGATAGAGTTGAGCAAGGGATGGACTGTTATCTTGTTAGATACCTCGTCTTCCAACTCAATTGTACTTTTCTGGTGGACAAGACATGGATACAGAAAATGTAAGTTAGTTCGTCTCTCGACTTATTTATACCGCCCCTCTCTGCACAAGTTTATGAAAGCTCTACCTGCAGCTCCTCGGCATAGTTTAGATAATTAAACGGCAAAATTTCCTTGTCTGCTAACTGAAGAGCTAGATATCCCCATATGCTAGCAACTGATATGCGAAAAAAGAAAGTAAAATCAGACCAGGTTGACGAGCATGTTTCATCACTTGGTATAAATCTGCAAATTTAATGATAATATATATAGCAACTTAGGCTTTAGATTTAGTTTTGACTGAGGCGTTGAATAACTGTTTCTCTAAGAAATGATTCTGTTGATAAATTGACCAGCAATTCATATAATCTCAACATGACATTATTGTAGTATTTGTTACCGGTTTCTCACCTGCAACATGTCTGTGAAACATTGGGTCACCGAACTTCTCCATCCAGATAAAGTCATCATACATTGAGTGGTATAAAGGGTATCCTGCAAATGCAGTATCAGTAGGCAATGTTCATTAGTTTCCTAAAGATAATTATGCTTCATGTCTGTGGTGCTTGGCTGAACTGCATGTTCTATTTCTTATAGTGGGAGATAGATAAGGGATCATATGGCGAAAAGATTGTGGCATGTTTGTTACCATCTCCGAAAGACATGTCAACGGCTGCTACTCCAATATGCTGCACGAAAGCTGCATAATCAGATCCTCCACCTCCTAACCTTCCAATCTGCAACATCTCAAACCACAGGTTAGTGCCCATTTTGTGATTGATTCATGCAAGAAGTTCAAAACAAGAGGGTTCAATGTCCCTTACTGGTGGAGAAGCTCCTGATCCGGTCCATGAGTCGTAGACACTCCTCGACGCGTTATTTGGATCTTGAACCTAAAAATTTAAGACACATAGATGGCAGAGTTTTGATTAGTTCTGGTGTAAGAAGAGCTTCTTAGGTAATATGCATATAACCTTGTATTGTTGCACTTGTTTCCCTATTGAACATAAGAAAGCATATCGATTGTTAGCATGCTTAATAATCAGGTACCTGTTTAGCGGCCTCTTTAAGGAGTTCGTCTAGTTGAGGAGTCGCAGAAGCAGAATAGTCTTTGTCACATACAGCTATATCCACATTCAAGTATGCGACCGCCTTTGATTTCAAAATTTCTCTGTTGTCTTCCACCCATTCAGTTGAGCCTATCTGCATGATTAGAGCAGAAGGTTTATGCTCTCCTTCTGCATACATTACATTCACACACATAAATGCGATAGAGGGGGGAAAAGAGAGACTAGATACCAGGCCATACTCCTCCGCATCCCAATTGCAAAAGATAATTGTTCTTCGAGGTTTCCACCCTTCCTTCTGCAGCTTTCCCAGTCTTTGAGCAACCTGTGTTTCATTCAGTTAATATCTATTTCCCATCTGCTCTGTTTAATGCAAATATTCTGGGACCGTGACTACCTACCTCGAGCAGTGCTGCAGTTCCACTGTTCGGATCAGCTGCTCCAAATGTCCATGCGTCGCGATGATTTCCCAGGAGGACAAAGCTACAATGTTGCAGCAGCTAAATCCGTATCATTCACATGTAAGTCACTTTTGCCTATGCTCTCGAATTCTATTCTTCTCAGTCATTTCATTCACTGCCAAATTACTCTAATCGCAATGCTTTTAAACTTTTCTTACCGATCAGGTTCCTCTGCCCCTTCAATCACTCCAATAACGTTATGAATTGCCGCTATCGCCTTTGTCGCCTGAATCCAACATCTCAGCAGTAAGTAAGTTCATGTTACAGCAGTAGTACAATTTTTCCATCAACAAAATTCTGAGCAATGACTTACAGTATAGCTAAGATTCAGAACCCCTGGCCCTGGTCCAACCCTGTAAACAGGACCATCCTCACTCCCCTGCCAATCACCATTAGCGACCTTCCCACCAATAGACCTCACTATCACCTCCCCATCCTCACCGGATACCGGTAAAGACGGTATCATCGGAACCACCCCTGACTTCTCAACTTCTTCATAATCAATCCTCTCACAACCTTCACTGCTCGGCCATCCAGGCGTAGTAGGATCCCCTGCTTCGCTGTACACCGAACCCACCTGCACACCCGTCGGAGGCATCCATCTCCCATCAGGAAACAACCCTTTTCCACCACCACCATAGTCCTTCCTATCCGTATATATAATCGTCCCTACAGCTCCTTCCGCATACGAATTATCCACAATGTCACCTCTGTAAATCTTCCCATACTTAGCCAAAACAATCGTCCCATTCACTTCCACCCCCATTTCCTTCAACGTCAAGAAATCCTCCACCCGTCCGTAGTTCGCATAAGTCACCGGCGCCGACACCGTCCCTGACTTCCCAAACCCGTGGAAAGTGGGCATGACCTGGTCTGCCACGTCGGCGTAAGGGTCGTTGTCGTAGATCGCCTGGCTGAGGTCGAATGCGATCGGCGGATGGCCCGGTGCAGGGGTCAGTGTGAGGGAGCGTGATGCAGGGTAAGTCAGGGCCACGTCGTAGGAGACGATGTGGGAGTTGACTTTGTGGGAAGTGAGGGTGGTGAGTACGTAGTCGGCCGTCTCGGCGTTGGCCTCGGTGCCGGCGACGTGTGGGCGGCGGGTGAGCATGTAGAGGTTGTGTGAGATGGAGGCATTGTCGGAGAGGGAGGCGGAGAGGAAGAGGGAGTGGTAGTGGGACTTTGGAGGGTTGGGGAAGAAGAAGAAGAAGGAGGAGGTGAAAGAGGTGGTGAGGGTGAGGAAAGCGTAGATGGCTGCTTTGAACATGGAGTTTAGATTGAGGTGGTGGTGATACTGAGACGATGGAGTTTTCTGGGATGATTGGTGAATTAAGGAGTTGAGAAAGTATAAAAATAGTTGCAGAAGGGAATACCGACAGTGACAATGGTTGTTGTGGTTGTCGAAGGGGGAAGAGAGGGGGACTCTTTTGGCTTCATCCTGATTGGACAGCCACGTAGTGGGTTTGTCTTTCTCAAAAAAGATAAATGGCGATATTCAATTGCTTTCATTTTTCTTGATAGGTCAGTTGAATGACTTTATTAGGGAACTAATATCTCATTATTCTGCTTGCTGGCGGTGTTTTACGTTATGAACAAGGTTTTAATGCTCTCTCTGGCATGGTGATTGCAGTTGTGATTTGTGAACAAGAGAGAGAGAGTGTTTTGGACTTTGCTGATTTGGTGGGTTTGCTGCTAGATCCTCAGTTCTTGGTCTGGATAGTTATGTTGAATCAGGGATGAAACCAAATGATCAAATTGCTAGGGGAGAGAGGTGATTTGTTGTGTGAACTGTTGTTATGTTGAGGACTAAACCAAGTCAATCCTTGTTGTTTTGCAGGTAACTTTTTCGTTGCAGAGCTTGGGAGGGCCTTGTGCATGTAACCGCTAGTCACATTTGGAGGGAAAGGTGCAATCTTTTATGTTTGGAGACAACATCAAGATGAAAGTTGGAGCATTCTATTTCCGACACTTGTTTCTTGAGTCGTCTTGGTTTGAGGTCGAAATGGAAGTAATATTGGTTCAGTTTTGGAGACTCATTAGTCATTTCTCAGGTCTTGGATGATTTTCGTCTCGACAAGCCTCCCTTCCTAGTTGGGTATACTTAAAGAGGGCCCAGAAAGAAGGCCCAGTGGGTTGTATTGGGCCAGAAGAATCCTGATGGCCCGTCCTTCTGCTGTAAGGCCAATGACCGAAGTGAATCAATAAGAAAATCTAGTTCGGTGAGTGTAGGTCTCACGCACCGTGAGGCTGAACCATGTTAAAATCCTCGTGTCAATTCTTAATTTCGCGTCATAGCTGATTTTTCTCAGGTTGAGACAACCATGGAAGGATCCTTCAGAAAGCCCAATGGGCCGTCAATAAGGCAAGGTTGGGCTTGGGCATAAGTCTATGGCCGTTACAAACAAAACACCCGTCCAGGAAAGTGGTAACACTGTGTCTTACACCATGCGTTTGATCTCACTGATAAGGCTTACAGTCGGTTTGCAAAGGATAGATAGATACTATTTCAAATAATGTAGTAATGGTTTTTTGTTGGGTTATAGGTATAATATGCCCTTGTATTATGATGTATTATCAAACATGCCCCTATACTATTTTTTACATCAAACATGCCCCTGTACTTTGAAAAAATTATCAAACATGCCCTTCTGTTAAGATTTCCATTGATAAAATCGTCCATCATGGTTGAACCGAGATTTAGACGACCCGACATCGGCAAATGGGAGCGAAAATGTCAGTTTTGTCTCCCGTTTTATTTCTCTGGATCTCTTCAAAGTGAAATTATTTGGCTATACAAAAGAACAAAAAAAATTCTAAAGTGAAATTATTAGGGATATTTGAGACATTTGGGCCGCACAAACCAAAGTTCGACCTTGGTTAACGGTTTTTGGATGGAAATTTAAACAAAAGGGCATGTTTGATAATTTTTTCAAAGTACAGAGGCATATTTTATGTAAAAAATAGTATAAGGGCATGTTTGATAAAACGTCATAATAGAGGGGCATATTATACCTATAACCTTTTTTGTTTATTAATTGGTGTTTTATTTATATTATGGGATTTTTGTTTATAGACAGTACCACGAGAATGCCAGGATCGGCCCTCCAGTTGAGAAGACTAATCATTTGCTCATAATTAATCAATAATGACAAACCAAAAGATGCACTATCTGAACTTGATTGATGTGCATCACTTCATTCTAAAATTTGTCAATCAATACTTTAATATTCATATTCGGTCCACATCGAACGCAATCAGATCTGTTAATATTCTTTCTTCTAATAATTTAAAGAAAATGAACAAAATATTAACTTTTATGATAAAATAAAGGAAAATACCCCCATAAATGAAAAATAGTGATAACAGACCAAGTAATTAAGTTCAATTAGTTGTAAGATGTATTCTTACACTTATTTCAAAGTCTTATTGTAATTAAGTAAATACAAATAACTATTTAGTCCAATCAAAACAAAAAAGGGTAACAACAAGATAACGTGAGACGAAAGTAGTACTCATGTCCCGTCTCACACTTCTATAAATTGGATAAAATCAATCACAATACGAATCGAGCCCAATAATACATGACAGAAATGAGTTCAAATTGACATCCAACCGGCTGCCCTCGAATCTCCATATCCATCTCGTGACCATATACAATTCCCCGACCAAGCTAACCAATTATGGCGTGGACGGCAATGCTATATTGCACACCACAACCAACACCAAAACCCACGGCACAAACTGAAGCTGAGAAACAACTAATAAGCACTTGAAAAGTCGGCCAAAAAGCAAATAACTAAGGAATCTGTGGTACCAAAGCCATCCACATCGAATAGCCACTTGACTAAGACTACTAATTAACTATCTCCCTCTCTTAGACAAAATTATCTACAATCGAAACACAAACCCTTTTGGTCCAACGAATCAGCCCACATCAATCCGATAAAGCTCCACGAGCATTCCACCATGGCCTGATAGGGCCCATGTAAAGTACACTCAGGGCCCGGGTGCGATCTCGATCTGTTCGAGATCCTTTTGGAATACGTCTCGTGCATGTGTTTGCATAAAAGGGTCGAGAGTGAAAGCATCAAGTTGTTTGATAATGAAGTTATTAGGGTATTAAGTCGTTGCACAATAAGTCAGTTACGAAGCTAGTAGCAAAACATTATAGTTTTTCGAAGTCCGCAAACCCGAGTATCACTAGAAGGTAGGTAAGTTGGCGAGGTGTCATACAGATAGTCATAATCAATTTGTCACAATAACTCCAGTTGTGGGAGAGGTCCATATATGGATCTTAACTACTTCCTCACGAAACCCTCTCAAACGAAAATCAATTCATGAGTTTGAACTTTGCACAGGCTCGCCATATCATGTATTTTAAATAAATAATAAGTATTTTTGGTCTAGAAGACTTGAACACGGGACCTCACGATTAAACCAACTCCAATACGATGTCATAAACCAACTTGTCTCAATAACTCTTGACATCTGCAATGGCTAAAAGGCATTGGAAGAGTGGTTAATCTAACAAGAGGAGCAAAATAACAGAGTATAATCCGTCCCCTCTACTTGAATGTAGCCCTTGGCAAGCATGTGAGCTCTATAGCTATCAACGGTGACATCAAACTTACATTCCATTTTGAGGACGATGGACTAGTAGCCTTAGTTGAATTAGTAACGTAATTGTCTATAATTATTAGTTGGTTGATACGATTAGTTAATAATATTGTCGATGATTTCAGCACATCATTTATGTAAACCAAAAAATATCCACCAATACTTATCTGATCATACACGAGTCGGTTAGACGTTCGTCTATTTAAAGACGTTGATTGATTAATGAAAGGCAGACAAAGAAGTATGAAGTGGAAATACTCTTTTACTATAAGTTCAACAGAGGACCCATTTGGAAGCAACGGTTTTCTCAGCACTCATCATCAAACTAGCTAATAGACCAAGTTCATACTACTCCTAGCAAGGATCCAGATTGGAATTTGTAACAACAATTATTCAACAATACCTTCACATAAGAACACACATGCAAAGAAGAACAGCAGCAACACTCACGGGAACAAACAAACAAACAAAAGCACTCAAACAAACAACCCACACAGAAAAGCCAAGCACCCCGCCTTATTCTCTTCCTCCTCTTCCAGAAACAACAACAACAGCATTAATTAATAGAACACTATTCTACTTTCCCTTTCCCTCTTCTCTTTTTCTGCAGTCTAGCACTCTGCCTCTGCAGAAATGGTTAGTGGGGGCAGCAGAGAAACCGCCCGTGACCCTCTCTCCTTTCATCATCTCACATTCTCGCACTCTTCTTCTTCCTTAATTTACTTGTCCTTCTTCAAGTTCCATGTCACTTTCCACCTATGTACCCTAACCGCACATATATGTATATATAGGCCATGTTGGTCCATAGACTTGCTACATTGTTTCATTCATCCCTTCTTCTTCTTCCTCTCTTTTCTAATCATATCCTTGAAACCATTCCTACAATGTCAGGAATCCCCAATTCCATGTTCCTGCTCATACTCCTGCTCCTGCTGCTGAATTCAGGGCAAACGGCGTTCTGTCACACAAAGGGGCTAAAACCGGGGAAATCAATGGGGAATAACCAACAGATCCTTCCTCCTCCTGTGAATTCCACGAGAACCCAATTCTCAGAACAGCAGTTCCTCAAATGGGTCAAGTTCGTCGGCAGGTTGAAGCACTCCGTCTTCAAACCAGCCAAGAACAAGCTCTTCCCTTCTTTCACCCTCACCGTCGACAAGAACCCGGTCACCGGCGACTTCACCTCGATTCAGGACGCCGTCGATTCCCTCCCTTTCATCAATGTCGTCAGGGTCCTGATCAAGGTCCATGCAGGCGTTTACACGTCAGTTCCCTCCCCCTTAATTTCCTCTGTTTTCTTCTCTCTGTCTCTCAACTATGGGCTGGAGTTTATAATAATAATAATAATAAAGAAAGACTGTTGAATCCGTGGTGAATTTTGTCCCACATTCTGTTGTGACAGCTTGGCCGTTTCCTGTTGTGTCAAGATTCTATTGGGCAGGGTTCTAAGCTTTGTAACAAAAGGGCTTTACACTGATTTTGTTTGTATGTTTGGTACAGAGAGAAGGTGAGCATCCCGCCATTGAAGTCATTCATAACGATCGAAGGTGCAGGGGCGGAGAAGACGATAGTTCAATGGGGGGACACGGCCCAAACCCCCGGCCCAAGAGGCCAGCCCATGGGCACCTACGCCTCCGCCACGTTTGCCGTCAATTCCCCCTTCTTCATAGCCAAGAACATCACTTTCAAGGTACATTCTCTGTTTTTTCCTCTGTTTTTGCTCCTCTGAATGAAAATAAAACAACCCAATTGAATTGGTTCGGTGGGGTTTGCAGAATACGACGCCGGTTCCAGCGCCGGGAGCCGCCGGAAAACAGGCGGTGGCGTTCAGGATATCGGCGGATACGGCGACGTTTCTGGGGTGCAGATTCCTGGGAGCGCAGGACACTCTGTATGATCATCTGGGGAGGCACTACTACAAAGATTGCTACATTGAGGGGTCCGTGGATTTCATATTCGGAAACGGCCTGTCACTGTTCGAGGTGGGTAAATCGTAATTGGATCAATACGGCCAAAATCGCGCTTTAATGCTTAAAAGTTCAAACCTTTACACTTCTGCGTCACCGATACACTTCTACGGAGCATTAGAACGCTTCTACGTAGAAAATCGGGGTTTTGACTGCATTGAATGGTGATTGATTATGGTTGGATTGTGGAACATTAACAGGGGTGTCACGTGCATGCAATAGCGCAGTACACAGGGGCGCTAACGGCGCAGGGGAGGAGCAGCCTGTTGCAGGATACAGGGTTCTCGTTCGTCAACTGTAAGGTCACGGGGTCGGGTGCCCTTTACCTTGGGAGGGCTTGGGGTCCTTTCTCGAGGGTCGTTTTTGCCTATACTTACATGGACGACATCATCATCCCCAAAGGCTGGTACAATTGGGGCGACCCTACCCGCGAATTGTAAGTCTCTCTCTCTCTCTACTTCAAAACGCTTAGGCCCTGTTCACATCCATTTTCGTTTCCTGTTTCCTGTTTTCATGTTATAAATTTGGCAAATGAAACGAGAAAACGTGTTTACTTTTCATTCTGTTTTCTATTCGTTTCCAACTCTGAAAACAGAAAGTGACAGCTTCCTACTGTTTTCGAAAACGAAAAAATGTCGTTTTCACCTGTTTTCAACATCTGTTTTCTCAAAAACAGGAAACAGAAATGAAAGTAAACAGGGCCTTAAAAGTTATAGGGATTTCCTACCATAACTTGAAGTAAGGTAACTTGAATTTTTTTACCTGCTATAGCAGGTTTCACAGGTCATATTACGTAAAATACAATAGGCATTACGTAATGGTTACGTAATATATGATAATCTTACGTAACAGTTGTAAAAGATCATTATGGAAGCCTAACGTAATAGAATGTATCTTTACGTAATGAGTTTTAACCTCGCGTTACGTAAAATGCTAAGTCATTACGAAAGCCTTACGTAACGCTACTGATTTAACTGTTACGTAAGAAATAACCGTCGTAACGTAACCTTTACGTAATGGAAGGTCTTTTTACGTAATGAGTATTAACCTTGCGTTACGTAAAGTGCTAAGTCATTACGGAAGCCTTACGTAACGTTTCCGTAATAACTGTTACGTAAGAAATAACTATCATTCCGTAACCTTTACGTAGTGAATGTATATTTTACGTAACAGTTGTAAAATATCTTTACGAAAGCCTTACGTAATGGAAGGTCCTTCTCCCCCGTCGTTTCTGGTTTCCTTTGCTCCCTTCTTTATCTTTTCTTTCTGCTTCTTATTAGTTTGTTGTTAGTCTGTTGTCTTCTGTTTGATGGGTGGTGTTTGGTTCAGCTCTTGTGAACCTCGGCACCCATCTGGACTTTGTTCCCTCTTTCTTTTTCGTTTAATGCTAAGTTCACCATTATAAAAAAAAAAACAAAAAAACCCTTTACGTAGTGAATGTATATTTTACGTAACAGTTGTAAAATATCTTTATGAAAGCCTTACGTAATGGAAGATCTCTTTACGTAATGAGCATTAACGTCATGTTACGTAAAGATCTAAGTTATTACGGAAGCCTTACGTAACACTTCTAATTCAATAAGAATTAAAAAAGGAAAGAATAAAATATGGAAAACAACTAAATTTGAAATGGAAACGAAAAAAATTAAGAATGGTAAGTTGTGTAGTGGTGACCGGCAACCCCTGTTGCCTTTTATTTTCTTACTTATTTTTTTATTTTTTATTTCTTTAATCAATGGTTTAAATTAAGTTTGATAGATTTTAACGGTTTAGATCTATACAAGTTACCTAACTTGAAATTATACCCAAGTTACCGTAGGAGGTCCCAAAGTTATAACCTTAGGGTTAATGAATTGGTGGACAGACACTAGTCTAGTGAATAGTGATCATGTGTAGATAGATGATCACACGTTCAAACTTGTAGTTTAGCAACAGAATGACTGAAGTGCACCTTACCTTAGTGATTGTGTGTTTGAGTCTTGACTACTTATTGTTGTTGATAAAACAGTTGGTTTTCAACCTAAAAGTCTCGAGTTCAAAATCAGTGATATGTGTAGTGGGGTAACTAGACTTGAACTTGAGTAGGGTCGTCAATTAGAGAGATACACGAGAGCCCAAGGTGAAGATACCTCGGAAGTTTTTAGTATGCTGAGTGAGATGATTCGATGTGGGGAATTGAGTCCAATTCACATGGAACTTCAACGCATTTTTAGCTCATAGTTGTCCCAGCATGGGCCTGGGACCTCAATCCTTACCTTTAGCCTCCACTCCGTCGCTGGATCTGTGTTAACCTTTTACACCAGCCTCGTACACACCAATGATGACAAACACTCTTATTATATTTTACGACAATAAACGTATTGTACACTAACCCCCTGCCATACACATAACCTCATTATCATTGAAAAAACTGACTCGCTTTCAACCTAGAGGTCTCGAGCTCAAAAACCAACTTATCGCCGTTAACCCTCTGCTCCAGCTTCTTACATATCAACGACGACAAATGCACTATCATACTATACGACAATGATGTATTGTACACCTAAACTCGTTATACAAAAAGAACAACTTATCATCCTTTTTATCACTTTATTGAAGCTTAGTGGGGATATAGGACGGTGCCATAACCTAACTATACCAGAACCCTTTTCCCTCCACATCCTGATCAATCAATCACGCCCATAGAGAACTTTTCTACCCTCATTCTTTTCAGCAAAAAGGTGCACTTTTTCTCCTTATCCCTCACAAAAAAAAAGAATTGGCACATCTACCGCTCTATGAGTGTGTAAATTTCCTCTTCTGGGATCCATCAAACCCGTGCTGCAGAATCGACGTGTACTGCACCACCACCCATCAGAATTCAGAACAGGGCTTCTTTGTTCTTTCTTAGACCATCTATCTCTGTCTCTACCTAACTTCAATTAGAATTATATAATTCTTCCGGGTGGCAATTTGCAATTTGCTTTGTTTATACAGCAGAGCACTAACTCATAAGCATGCGTGAGATTCTGATTCCTGCTCTGTTTTTTTTTTTTTTTTTCCTGCAACTTTTCTTCTGGGTGGTTTTCTGCACAGGACGGTTTTCTATGGGCAGTACAAGTGTACAGGTCCCGGAGCCAGTTTCGCAGGCAGGGTGGCGTGGTCGAGAGAGCTCACCGACGAGGAAGCCAAGCCTTTTCTTTCGCTTAGCTACATTGACGGCTCTGAATGGGTCAAATTGGAAATATAATAAAAGTTTCGGGGCCTTTTTGGGTTTTTTTTTTCCAACTCCGAAGTGTGATATTTGTAATTTTACTTCCTTCTGCTTTCCCTCCTCGCTTTGTAAAAAAGAAAAAGCTAGGTGATTAGTTTTGCTAAACTGGATTTAATATTGTGGATTAGATTAACCTAAATGGGGATGATTAGTGTTTTTTTTTGTCATCTCCCAATTATAATAAATTTCAATCACAATGCAATAAATAATAAAAGAGTTAGGTGTTTGTTGATCTGCAAGTTTTGAGTTCGAAATGCGATGAATAATAATCGTGAAATTTCAATGTGATCCAACCGTATGAACATGTCATCTCGTACAATTTCAGAAGCATAATCATTTCTTTTATTTCCTGGTTTCAAAACTATTATAAGAAGAATCACACTATTATCAATAAAAGAAGAATCACGCTATTAAATATTTAAACACATCCCCAAGTCTCGAATGCACAGCAAAATTGGCATAAGCTGTAAAGCGTTTTACTTCTTCTAAAAAATATTATGAGTAATAATTACTTTATCTTAAATTCGACGAGGTGTCTCTATTTATTAAAAAATGATTTGAAAAGAGATTTGAAGATTAAAGAAGGAGAGAATTTCACATACGAAAATTTGAAAAATTAGACATTCCAAATATGGGCTTAAGTCAGCAATTGGTGATAGGCAGATCAACTGTTGGGTTGAAAATTATTGAGTTCATTTTGGCCCCCTTACCCAAGCCTTTTGCGGAACGCAAATATGGGCCAGCAATTTGGGCCCTCATAGCTTGCAACCCAGGCCGCGGCCCAGATGTAGGAACCCACAACCGTTAGCGCTGAGCTTCAAACGCCTCGACAGGTTTATTGGCATCTTCGGATACCTTTAGATGAAAATGGACTTTCGCCATGGTGATTTCATGGAATCTGAATATAAGCAATGTTATAATTTTAAGAAAATAAAAAACATTTTCTGACCTCAGTTAAACTATTCTAGAACCAAGGTCAAGCTTTGGCATGAGGCTTGGGTTGCTCCCTCTCCGATGCCGGGTAACCGACGCCAACCAGCAGATCATGTCACAGCCAACATTGGCTGGAAACAACCCCCAGAAGGATGGATAACTCTGAACATTGATGGTGCTTCGTGCGGGAACCCGGGTCAAGCCGGAGCTGGCGGTCTCCTTCGAGACGCTTCAGGGAAGTGGATCGCCGGCTTCACGACCAGCATTGGGTCGGCAACCGCGGCTCTGGCAGAGTTATGGGCGTTTTATTATGGGCTTGATTTAGCTTGGAAAGAAGGATGTCGAGCTGTCATTGTGCAGTCTGACTCTCAGCTGGCCATTCAGCTTATTGAGAAAAGACATGATCCTGTCCACCCTTATTCTACTCTTCTCTTGGCCATTCGGAGGAAACTAAACCTTGACTGGCTGGTGAGCATTTCTCATACATACCGGGAAGGAGCACAGTCTCGTCTATCCCTACGGAATGCATGAGCTTGCTAACCCGCCCTCAGGGCTAGTTCCCATTCTGCAGGATGATGTTAGGGGGGGGGGGGGGTGTTTTGAGCATAGGATTGTTCCCGGAACGCTCGCCCCTGCCCTTTCCTCTTAATCCCCCTCTTCTGCTCTTCTTTGGCGGTTTCCGCCTCCTGTAATGCAAAAAAAAAAAAAAACTATTTTAGAACCAAATGACGCCTTAAATGCATTAAAGTTTGGATAAAAGGTGTGATTAAATATACGAGCCCGATATTATCGGGTATGAGGAGGATATGAGCGTGGGGATGGGATAGGTTCAACGCAATTTGTCCCAAACTCCTTTTCAGCATTGCAATATGTACTCCCTTTTTTGCATGCATGTTATACACTTTTTTCAAATAGGATAATTTGTTTTGTCTCAAAACAATCTTACTCTTCAATTAAATTATGACACGCACTAGAATTTTAGGATTTATGTAAAATAATTTACAATTTAGTTTTGCTGTTAAATATTTCTAAAATATGCCAGATCCTCGTCATTACATGGATAAAGTTGATGACAAAAGTGCATAGATTAGTTGTATTCTTATGTGGTATGCTTGTATTAGTCAATACTAGTGACTAAATTTTGAAATTCGATGTTTGAAGCCTAGTTCGATTGATCGTATTCCACTTCTATCCAAAAATTATGACAAAAGGGCAGGCTCTTCGTACTAATAATGAAATAGATGACAAAAGGGCAGGCTCTTCGATGTCTGAAGCAGCTGAAATTGTACTAGAAATTTCGTGCGCCGATTTTCGACTGCACAAAACGATATTCCACCATTTACGAAACCCTGTTGTCTAGAAAAAAATTGTTGAAGCCACCATAACCAAATAAATCTCTTAATTGCTTCAATTGTCTCAAAATAAAACAATTAGATCAAATAGTATCTTTTGGCAATACAATATAGGGGGATGCAACAACCGAGTGGAGACATTTTGAATTGCCTCATTCCGTCACAATTGGAGTTCACAGTGAGGACAACTGTATTGAATAATGCATCGTTTGTGATATGATGTTATTTTCAAGAATTGGAGGTAGATTATCTCGTTCCAGAAACACATCACCCAAACCAACCCAATGGGTTTGACACACTTCTCAAAGTAGCTGGTGTGTTCAAAGTTTTTAAAATAGGCTTGACTAATTCAGGATCCAGATGAACAACAACAAGTCATCAATAACCAATCATAAAATAAGGTGGCCACCATTAAAATAACAGAGGGAGCTGAGAGAGATAAGAAGAACATATAAACAAGAACAAGAGGGTTCAAAATCAAATCAAAATAGTCGAAATTTTGAAACCCACAAAACCCTCAGCTGCTTGTCCCCCACATTTGTTAACATTGATTTGAAAGCAAGCTGTGGGGGTGATGCCCACATGATGCAAGCAAACCCTAAACCCTAGAAAAGAAACCACAACACAGAGAAAGACAAATTGGAATCCTTTTTCCCTTCTCCCAAAGTTTACCCCTTTTCCCCTATTCTATTTCACACATTTACCAATGGGAAAAGAAGGAATCAAAAGAACAAAAAGTGGATCATTATTATAAGCAAACAATTAAGTACTAGTATGTAACAAAACCAAACACCACCATCATCATTACCAATTTACCATCATAATTTCCCCTCCAACCATATATGCAGATTTGCAGACAGTTACTACTACTTACTACTTGATGTGACTGTCTGCAGAAAGTCCCACACTTGAAATGATTTGATTTGATATGGGCAAGCAAGGAAGCCAGAATCCTCTCAAAGTCAAAAACCATCATTGGCAGTTTGGCATCACCAACTCAATAAGATCAACACAATAAGACATTAATTGGTCAAATTGATTCCATCCCACCTGTGACCTACTACTGCTCATTCTTCTTCTTTAAATTTAGGGTAATGATGCATTGTCTTTGATTGGTGGTGGTGATCTCAATCTCATTTTCAAATTTCATCACTATGGGTTGAGAACCATACCATTATCAAGAAAGATTTAATAGTTGGAGAAGTTTTCATTTTGCTAAAGCAAACGCTTACGTTGTACTCATAAGAAATCGGTTAAGCAGAGGGATATTACAAAGAAAATCGAAACCAAATCAAGAAATACATCTTACATTTGTAGAACAATCCAAGCTTGTGAGATAAAAACATAAACCCCCTGTTTCCGAAGTAGGAGGGGAGGGGAGGGAAAACTTGGATGGGAAGGAAAATTGGAGGGGAATGGAATTGGAGAGAAAATGTTGTTTTATGGGAAAAAGTGAAAGAGATAGTGAAAGGAAAAAAGTATATAGGAAAGTGTGATAGATATGTTGTTTTATTGATTATGTAATAGTAAGTATATGCAAAAAATGCGAAAATAAATATTATGAATAACCAATTTCTACATAACCATGATCAATTTTGTTATTTGTTAACGGAACATAAATTGTTCATTTAACTCTTTTTTATTTTTCATACAAATTTGATTACTTTTGTAGTACAAGATAACGTCCATTCTTTAAAAAATGTAACACTCTGATGTCGTTATACTTGAAACTTAACACACATTTACGTTCCACGTAATTGGATCAAATACATTATTCCTTGTTAATTTTGCTCATTATTAAAATACAAAAATAGATGTTTTGACCATGATCCGGTGAGAAAAATATTTGTCACCATTGTATAATGATACACAAAGATATCATACAAATAAGAGTAGAATTGTCTAGCATCATAGTTAGCCATAAATATTGTTCTTTCGTGTATCGCCAGTTGGACCGTAAAAATCGTCTACTGTCATCTAAGTCGGTAGTGTATATAATATCATGTTAGAAGTTTACGTAGTTAAGTAAGCAATCTAAAATAATACACACGGACTTCACTAATTTAATTATCGTCCTCCAAAATTAGTCGAAGATTATCTCTTCAACCCTAAAAACAATGAATTAGTAATTATCACATCTCCTAATATTTCTCCACGTTAAATGCAATATATGTGCTAATAACATATAAATTAACAATTTTTGTCATTTATTTCACTGCTATCACACATCCCTACACAAATACAACTTAAACGAAAAAGGAAAATAGACAACGCACGAGAAAAAAAGGTATTAGTTAATAATAATGTTTTATTCGTTAATTAACCATACAATTGATAAAATAATAAATTATATTAGATAATCTTATAATATGTGACCATAAAATAAAATTCCATAAATCGTTTACCCATCCAACGTAGTGGAAAGCAAAACAAAACGCAAGAAAAAAAAATGAAAAATAGGAAAATGCTTGAGAAGATGGCTTTCCTCCCAAATTGGAGGCTCAGGTAAAACAGTACATTTTCCTTCCCTCCGGTCCTGTAGCAAGTTTGGAGAACGGTGGAAAAGTTATTGGGTTCTGGAATTTCTCTCCCTCCCTTCCCTTCCCCTCCCTTTCTCTTCTTAAAAAACAGAGGGAAAAGGAGTGGAACATAGACCAAACGCATCGGACATGGGGAGTTCAAATTTGGATCCAAACCCAATGCACAAAGCACGATTTCATATCGTCGAACACATACTTGATCATGGTGATTGAACACTGCAACATCATTAGCTGCCTCCTGGAAGACCATCCATCACAGTGGAGCTCGAAGTCATGATTACCCGGTGAACAAGGCTACGAACCGGACTGCATAGAGCTGAAAAGTTCCAATCTTTAATTTTGAAGTATAGATTTTGAATCATCTTGTTACGTGTCAGTACATATGAATATCAATCTATGAGTTTGAAGTTTGCATAATCTTTCCCTCTATGTTATTTGGTTAATAAATATTTGATTTTGAGGGGGTGTTCAAATATGATATCTTGTTGATTGAAGACCCTGATAACAACATCAAAAGCTAAATTATCTCAACAACTCAAATTATACGGAATCAACTAAGGATCTACTATATCTTTTCGAGCAATACATGCCAACTTGAATCACCTATTATCATGGCCAGAATTAATTGATTTGCCCTGATTGTGTCGAAGAGCCTCGAAAGATTCATCAGAGTGAAGGGTATGCTAGCAAGTAGCAACCCATGTAGAAAGATGAAACAAGATAAAGTAAAATAATATTCGAGGGTGATTCAAAAATTAGAGTTAATTAAACTAATTGCAATCAAAGTCCAACTATTTGAACAACCTAGTAATTAGGATCACCTCGTACGTTGGGCTCATAATAATAGAGTGTTTGTTTATGAAAACTTTCATGAGAAAAATCCAAAATCAGCAATTCCTTTCCCATGTTCTGTTTTATGGCAAATGTTTGTCTTTCACAATAATTGAGGAAGGAAGATTGGGGAATTAACAACAACCCAACTATAGAAGCATTAAGAATTTGGAGAATGGGGTGTCTTACAAAATCCCAAGAAACCAAGTAGGGAGAGCAAATTCCACACATTAGATCGTTCTTTATTTTGTGATCTTGAGCCATTAAATTGATATAATAATAATAATATTATTATTATTAACATCATTTACATAGTAATTTGATAACTGAAAACACGAGAATGAGCGATCGAACAACATGATCCCGTGCATACGGGTACCTAGAATGCCTATCGACATGATACCAAATTGGAAGTTGAGTGCAATCACATGTGCAACACATTTGCTCCAAGGAAAAAACCAATTTTTGCATAATAAGTAATAACCCATATGTAGTAATAGTGGGATAGGGGGAGAGCAAAACTTGAGGTGGCCACATGGAAGATGCATCATTGGTTTTTGCTTCAGTCACCTCATCTATTATTTTTGTATTTTTGAATCCAATTGCCCTCTCTCCTTCAAATGAAACATCATACTCATATTGACTTGGCCTTACCTTACATATACATCACATTGTGCAAAATTTGAATCCACATAGATCCAAAGGTTTCCCTCCATTTGTGTGTATATATGTTAACAAACAATTAATCAAGCAATTGATTCATCTCAAATTGATAACTTTTCTAAATTCAGAGCAGATATGAGAACGTTGGATTCTACTCTGACGGTACCACAACGATATTTTAACTCCAAGACATTGAGTTCAAGTCTTATGGATTTCATCCCTTGTATATGTTGAGCTAGAACATTATCTGCTAATTTGGGTTCAAGTCCTGTGGATTCTACGCTTATTCTTCCTCTCTCTACTAGACTGAACCCACTTATGAATGGCCTGTTTCAAGTTGCTACCTCAATTTAAAATGTTGGTTTAGTCCATGGTACTACAAAAAAATTAGTAATTTAAGGTGTCGGGTTTGAGTCGTATGTCCCTTTAGTTTTAGGAGTAATATGGTTTCTAGAATCAAGAAAATAAACGAATTTAAAGTTTGATATGCTCAATTATAAGTAAATTTTGAATGGAAAGGTCGACTTGATATCAGTCAATTATGTACGATATTGTAATCTCGTACCTTTAAGTTACAAAATTTTGCAATTTAACAAGAAGCCTTGCTTAAACTAGGATTAATAAAGAAAGTCCGAAGCAAGTTTCTTCTTTCTCCCATTGATGAACATTAACAATTCTACAATCTGCATCTCATTGTGATATTTGTAGGGTGCAGCTCCAACATTAATGGGGGAAGATTTATATAAAACTCTATTCAATCACTAATCAGGTGACCGTTACAGTTTTCTCCTTTGTTAATCCACCATCACCATAACCCTAATTAACAATCATATCGTCACCATCTCTGCTGTAATTGCAAAACCTCCCTTTCCCTGCCGAAATCCGACGACCGATCAAGCTTCCCCATCACCGCATTCTTGAAATTAATGGCGTCCTGAGCTTTTGAACACGACCTCTGCATCCTCACCCCGCTCAAGCTGCTCCTCGACTCCAGCAATTCGTTCAAAGACACTCTCTTTTTCCCCGCCGTCGGCGTCCCTGCCGACACCGGCTCCGGCCTCTGCTTCGGCGCGCTGTAGGACCTCGATTTCGCCCTGAACGACTGCGTGTTCGCCATGTAGTTTGGGTGGTAGCCGCCGTACGGCGACCGGAAGAAATTCTCCCCACCGCAGATGCTCTTCGCCGGCGTCAAGGGAGCCGGCGCGTTGTTGACTCCCCCGTCGCCACCGCCGCCGCAGCACCCTGCCCCCGGGTTCAGAAACCGAGGGGTGCTGTGGGCCGTGGAGAATCTGCACTCGTCGCCGGTCAGCCCCCAGTCGGAAGATGGGTAGTCGTGGAAGTTCCGGTGGTCGGGGATCGACAGCCGGTGAGGCACCCGCGACGGAAGCGGAGAAGACACAGTGGTAGGGTAGTGCACAAACACCGGCGGCGGCGGGTCGTCGCCGAAATCGGGAACAGAGGAAGGCGAGATGTTTGTACATCGTCGAGATCGCGACCTGGGCCTGCTCCCTGTATCCATCTCCACAATCTTCGGCGTTTCATCGGCGACAGCGAGATTGCTGCCGGCGTCGATTATCATTCCGCCGTCTAGAGGAGCAGAGAGCCTCCGACTGTGGTGGACTGAAGCTGAATGGTCGCTTCTCATCTCGTCAAATCTCTCCTGGAAAAACAACCCAATTACCCAAATCGATTAATTTCAAAACGCTCGAATCTGAAACGGAATGTACGAGAAATTGGCCTTTGACATTTTGATTTTAGCTTTACCATTGATTTCCGAGCTCGAATTTCCAATCGATTCCGCGCAGCAGCTCTCTGAGACCTAACAGCGGCTTGTGCCCTGATTAAAGCTTGCATACTGTGAAGAGTTGCCGTCGCTTGTTTCCTCACTAAATAACCTCTCACATGCGCCTGTAATTTCACCAATCCCTTCAAAGCTCTCAACGCCTTTCTCGCCTGCAAAATCACCCCCAAAAAACAGAGAGCTTCATAAGCCAGAGTAAAAAACAGAGCTTTAGGCAAAAACAGAGCTTAATTTCTCAATAACTCTACTCACCAAAAAACCTCTAAACACGGTTTGAATCCTGACAGCAGCCCACCGCTCGTGGCTGCCGCCGCCGAACATCGTGCCCCTGCCGTGGCTGGTGAGCCGGACGACAGCGACGGCAGCCTGGGCAGCCGCGACGGCGGCATCCGCCGCGGCAGCGGTGGCAGCAGCAACCGCAATGGCGTGCTTGCTCTGCTCCTTCTCCGTCTGAGAGTAATAAGACTTCAACCACGCGGCTTCCGCCGGAGAAATGTTCGGTGGGATGGTTGCCGGATTTCGACACAACGACTCCCCCGAATCCTTCACAGAATGCCCGAATCCGCCACACCCAGTTCGCTTCTCTTTGCCCTCATCGCTATCTTTACTCCCTCTGGTTGTTGGTTTTATCCCAAACAAGTTCTTGATCCACCTAGCAGCTTTACCCATTTTCTCTCAATTTCTTCCCCCTCTCTACTAGAAGAGAAAAAAACAGGGGAGAGGAAGAAGGAAAGGAGAAACAGAGCACAAAGAGAGAATGAATCAGTGAAACCCAGAAAGAAAGCGGGTTACTTACATAGAGAGGGGAAAAGGGTCAAAAGTGGAACCTTGAAAGAGGGAGGAAAAGGGTAGCCGTTTTGGGGAGTTGGAAAGAACGAACGAACCAGAGGAAGGCTGGTTAAATATTTTTGTAACAGCTGAGAGAGAAGTAGCAGAAAGTGGAAGGGGAAAGCGGCAATTTTTTTGAAAAGACGAAGGGGAAACTGAACAAATTAAAGAAAGGGATTGTGGGAGAGAGAGAGGGGGCTCGTGAAAATCTGAAGGAAGAGGACAAAGAAACAGGGGGCGCTGTGGAGATGCAGAGGTTATGGAGGTAGGGGGAGATGAGATGAGAGGGATTTTTTTTTTTTTGTATTTTATTGTTTGTTTGAATGTGATATTCAATAACGGAAAGTTTGAAACTTTGGGATGGAAAGGAAGGAGGTACTGTAACTGTGTTATAAAAGGAGCCACGAGAGGCCAAGGAAAGGAAGAAGATGGAGAAGAAGAAGAAGAAGAAGAAGAAGAAGAGGGAGAGGGTCGCTATTGAAGATTTAATTTATTTTTGCCGTGGTGTGGTGTTGAAGGATTGTACTAATCATGAGTATATATGTACCAATTATTTCTGTAGTAATAACACGAAGAATCAGATTCCCAAAAGATCAAAAGTTGGGCAGAGGTGAAGAGAAAGGAAGAAGAGGACATAAATGGTTGATTAATGGGTAATGGTTAGGAATGGTAACGTGCAGGTCCAGGTAGGGTATTTCGATATTCATATTTGCCTCGTGGTAGGTCAGGTCCAGGTCGGATAATTTATCATGGGGCGCGGGTTGGGGCAGGTCGACCCAATGAGTATGTAATTTATGTGAAAAACTTTTAAAATGTTCATTATTTTCATTAAAAGATCAAGAAATAAACCATAATATGATAAAATGTAGTAAAAATATTGGAGAAATTGAGGTTTTCACTTATTTACAACTTTATTATATCTAAAATATGAGGTGATATGAGGAAAATTCTACGTAATTTGACTAAGATTACATGTAATTTAGGCAACAACGGGCCGAGAATAAGGCGGGTCAGGGCGGGTCGGGTCAACGAGAGGTACCCATGCCAACCCCGCTCCCAAAATAAGCCAAACAGGTCGGGTAAAACGGGTCAGGTCGAAATTGCCATACCTAGTAATGGTGTTTGATAGATTTCTTAGATAGGGTCGATTTGCGTAGAAAACCCACACAAGCAGCAAGTGAGCTGCTCTGCATTTATATATTAAGCAACTAATTAGGATTACAGATCTTTGGCACGTGTCGTTGTTGTATTGGCTACATTTAAATGTTAAACAGTGGTTTGCAATTCTGCGGGGATGCGAAGGTTGTCATTGAGAAAATTCAGAATAGGGATGCTTGGGATATGAAAGGTGAACGGATTCTTGAAGAAATTCGGAGGCTATGTCATCATTACCTGCGCTTGGAGATGACCTTTATTGGCAGGAGTAACAATCGGGTGGGCCATGAGGTGGCTAGGAAGACTCTTTCTTTGTTGCCTGCAGTTGTAGATACTTTTGATTTTGGTCGTGGGTTTGCTCTTGGGTTGTAAACTGTGCTAGCTTTTTACCTTGGTAATACAAGTGATCTATTGGTAAAAAAAAGGATAAGTGTGTAAATAAAAGGGTCCGGAGCATGTATAACAGAACATAACAAGTCAATGTAAAGTCTAGGAGTCCGAAACATTTCTTGAGCAATCTTCACTCGAATCTCCTTCGTTCTACAATCACGTTACAATCCGGATTTCTTGTCCAGCAATTATGTCACCCCTCTTCAAGGTGTAGCATGCAGTATGACTCCCAACTTGATTCACTTTGTTCATATGTTGCAATCTGATCAAAGTCGTCTTAATCCTTTCTCTTGTCACATGAATATCAATCTCTATGTGTGTTTTTTTTTTGGAAAAGAAGACTCTCAACAATGTGTATAGCTGACATATTGTCATAGTACATAGTGATAGGTAAGGGAACTTTCACACAAAATTCTTCTAGCATCCCATTCTACCACTGGATTTCATAAACTGTCATTGCTAATGCCATGTATTCTGCCTTCGATGAAGATCAAGACATTGTGGTCTATTAGGTAAGTGGTGACCTTTGTAGGAATGTGCAATAACTATTAGTGGATCTTCTTATATATGGGCAACTTGCCCAGTCTGAGTCATAAAATCCCGTTAGCTTTAATTTGGATGTGTTGCTAAAGTAAGTCCATTGACCCGATCCATTCTTCAAGCACCTCATAACTCTATAGGCTGCTTGAAGACGTTTTTTCATGTGGCTTCTTTTGTAACTGACATAATACTTGAACTGCAAAAGTAAGTTTCGGTCTTGTGATGGTAATGTAATGCAACCTCCCTACTAGCCTTATGTATTGTTCATGATATGTTAGTGTTGTTCCTTGTGTTGTTGATATAACCTCACTTTGGAGTCATTTGGTGATTGACACCCCTTAGAAGAATCATGATATCATGTTTCCTTCAGCAATTCTAAGCAATATTTCCTCTGTTGTGCCATTACCATCAGTATAACCACAATCTTGCCATGAACCTATTTTGTAGACAAAGAGTAGCCCGGGGCAGATTGACTAAAACCCGTCTTCAAAAGAAAGCTGACTAACACTTGGCAAACCACCGTCTATAGGCCTGTTTAAGGCCATACAAAGACTTCTTTTGTCTACATGCCATCCTCTATAAACTGGACTCTCCCAAATCCAGCCCTGGTGGCAATTGCATAGGGGTGTACACACGAAGTGGTTATCGCGGCAATCGTTTTAACCGGTAGTATTCATATAATTTTATTTAGTTAATTTGGTTTGTTTAAACTTTTTAGTTTATTTGGTTTAGGTGGTTTGATTTCAGAAACTACTAACCAATCAAACCAATTAACCAATTAGCCATACATCTAATACATTATATATATCATACTCAATACTTTGCAAAGACTTCCTTTTACCAATTAACCAATTAGCCATACACTAATTCATGTTCCCATGACACTCAAGAATGTGTGTCAAAAGAGTTGATTAAGTCGTCACCTCTGCCTATGTCCCGTCTTTTACAATCAACTAGGGTTCAGTAGACAAATTACAGGTTGATCTGGTCATATAATAAACGCAAGTATCTACTTATTATTTAGAGGTCTAAAATATGAAATGCACTATAGAAATAAGAAAAAGAAGAGTTGAGTATTTTTTTTCCATTCTAATTTCTTTGGAAGGAAATGGCGTACATCAGCAAGCATCTACTTCTCCTTCTTCATCCTTTTTCGATAATTACAAATCTCTCTTCTCCAATGGCCGGACCCAGCTCTGCAAATCTCAGCCGCAGATGACTCTCAGAATCCCATTTTCTTATTTATTTTTTTCTTCATTTCTCTCTGTTTCCCTAATCTGAAGGTCTCTCCAAAGATCTTCGGTTAGGTAAATTTTGCAGCAGCTGCAGCAGAACCACTCTGATAAAATTGTTGTGGGTATTAAAAATTGATTCTTTTTCACTGTTTCAGTCTGTGGAGTCAATTGTTCTTCTTCCCTGTCCATTACATATGTGTACTGAACACCAACAAACCCTTCTCTCTTGTCAATTTCTACTCCGTTTCCCCATTGCTCTGTTTTTCAATTTGTATTATTTACACATAAAAGCCCTTTTTCTTCTTGGGGTCTCTGTTTCCGGTGGCCATGCATGACAAGTAGCCTAACTAGCTAGGTAGGTAGGTACGTTTTTTAGGGTTTTTGTTTGCAGCAATCAGCAGCAGCAGCCGCTGCTGATTCAGCAGGGCATTGTTAACTCATTTTCCATTGAACAGAGCTAGCTGAGCTCCTTCAACTTCAAAGGGATCAGTAGTTGTACTAGAAAAACAGGGGGTTTAGTTTTTGGATTTGGCTACGGTTCTCATCATCTCATGGGTTCATTTTCAGCTAAGTAACTATGGATTGTTCATATAACTTTTCCCACTAAAATATAATGATAATGGATTATAAGTTTATAACCCATTTGTCTCATTCTTTTAATGAATATTTTTGAATAACAATTAGAACAATATTTTTGTTTTATCATAGTATACAATGGTGGTAAAAAACAAGAGTACATCGTGATATGAAAATAAAATATACTATGATTGTTGAAGCATATCATAATGTAGATATATAAATGTTATACATGGTGGTACAAATATATTAACCATCATCTAATATCGTCTACCACTCTCCATCACTATCATACCATTATAGTAAAGAGTGATATAATTGCTCCAAAAATTTCCCCTTACATGTATTAAAATTGATACAATTTTGTATATTACAATGATTCCGTTACTTTTTGTGCAATTCAAAATTAAGTTAGAGTGAAAGAGGTAAAGAGTGGTAGCATGTGGTCTGAAAAGATTTCCTCCAAAATTTATCGAAAATTGATATCGTTTTGTAGAACAAAATGAACTCCGTGTAAGAACTTTCGGAATCAGGGTCAAAACAAAGCATATACAAATCGATTAAAAAATGTATGAGACTGAAAAATACATTTAATCTTAACCATAAGATCTTGCCACAGTCGATCAAAGACCTAGATCTGGTTATACACCAATTCATGATATATGATTATGCATTTGACTATAGACCCACGAGGTCTGAAATAAGTGTATTTTTCTTGATCTTGATATTCGTGAGGTACACAATTGTTATCGCGTACAACCTACGATTATGAATATGAATCGTGCAACGCATAATCCAATCATATAAAGTTGTAAAGACGTCGTTCGTAGGGATGGCAATTAAGCCCATACCCATGGGTATTTTACTATCCAACCCAATTGGGTTGGGTATGAAATCCAAATATATGGATATTGGTAAAGTTTAATGGGTTTGTACCCATACCCATTTACTTTGGGTTGGGTTGGGTTTATAACAAATGGATTTGGGTTTGTACCCATGCCCAAATACAAATTACAGTTTGGTACCTAAACTTGATAGATATGCATATTTAGCACCTAATTTTTTTTTTGCATATAAGTCCTCCAAATATCGATGGAAAATTATGTTTTGGTACCTAAATTTTTTTGGTCTTACATTTTGGTACCTAAAATTTTCAAGTTTTACAAATAAGTCCAATTTTTGCATGTGTAGTTAAAACACCCTCAAGTAAATGGATATCCATATCCAACCCATACCCATTTAGATAATATCCATATCTAACCCAAACCCATATACAAACCCCAAACCCATACACACATCACCCAAACCCTACCCATAATAAATGAGTCTATTTGGGTTTGGGCAAAATTATCCATGGGTGGGTAAATTGCCATCCCTAGTCGTTCGGTCGAGCCTTCTTTTCTTACTCTCTTCATAATTTTTGTTGTTGTTACACTAGTACTCTTGGGGGTACAATCAAAAGTGGGTGGATGGGTGA